GATCATTTCTTATAATACGAAATATAGCTTTTTGGCTTTGACCAGGAAAAAAGAGCTGATGCCATTGAGTAGAATTTCCCATCAATAATTTTTTTTTTATTTGTTTTTGTTTGTTTCCTCTATGATAATTTAATTTTCTTATTTTAAAAAAAGGAAACAAGGGGTTCTGTTCACTATTGTATGTCTTATATGAAGGTACAGGTTCACCCCATATTTTTCGAGAAAGAAACTGTTCCTTTTTAGGAAGTGCCAGGAGTTTACTTAATGATGCCCTAAAAGATGAACATTTGTTGCCCTAAAAGATAAAGAGTTGTAGTCTTTAAGAAGCTGCATAATGTAGATTAATCCATTTGAAGGAAAAGGGTGCTTTGATCTATTTCCTTTTACTTCAATTGGATGAAAATTTAGCTGAAGATTTTCTCTCCTTTTTAGGTTCTAAATTTATTTCTAAATATGTTTAATTTCTCCAACTCCTTTCCTTCTCCAATCAATGGCTTCCCTCATTCTTCTGGTGTCTTTTTTGGTCACGAAAAAGATGGTGTTCATTTCAACCACCACCCATTTATCGCCGGAGATTGCTCTTTTGATCATCTTCAAACTCCTTTACCCATTAAAGCATCAAGCATACAAAATTCCGATAATCGCAATCATCTGAATCTTTCAGAATCAGTGAATTCTCCCTCTAGAAAGCGAGTTGCAGTTTCAAAGAAAGATCGACACAGTAAGATCTTCACAGCTCAAGGTCCCAGAGATCGGCGGGTGAGATTATCAATTGAGATTTCAAGAAAGTTTTTTGGTCTTCAAGATTTGTTAGGGTTTGATAAAGCAAGCAAAACCCTTGATTGGCTCTTTACGAAATCGAAGTCCGCCATTAAAGACTTGCTCGAAGAAAAGAAGCACACGTTATCTCCTTCAACTCTTACTGATCAATGTGAAGAAGTTTTCATGGAGAAAGGAGATCATGTCGAAAAGAAGGGCAAAAAGAAGAAACCAGTAGCTAAGTACGTTAATGGCGGCAAAAGGAAGAAGAAAACAACACCAAAAAATCCGAAAACTGGTTTCTCGATGAATCTTGCAGCTAGAATCCAGTTAAGAGCAGAGGCAAGAGCAAGAGCTAGAGAAAGAACAATCGAAAAATCCCGAAACAAAAACCTTGAAAACAACGACTCCAAGAATCTTCTTGATGATCGTAATTACTGCTATCTTCAATCACAAAGCAACCACGAACCCAAAATTGGGGAATCATTCATGGAACAAAAGCTTCCAAAGCCATACTCACTTCTGTATACTTCCCACAACTTTGTTGGATCAAAAGATTCAATATCCCAGTTTAAGAACAATCTCCATTGATCTAGATCTTGAAGAGGTACTATACACATTATATATTTAAACACATATACACGTGATTTGCTAATCCTTTTCTTTGTTATCTTGAAATAATTAACTCTTCAATGGCAGCAGCCGGATCTATTACTGATCACTGCAAAAGATCTGGTCGATGATGGAGCGAGATATATACCTTAAGGATGTAAGTCCATAAATGTTGTTGATTAAACAGTTAATCCATTTTACTATTTATTTTTTATGCCTTTTGAGTGTTTGTAACTTTGATCTATCTACCAATATATGACACTCGTGATATGTACGTTTAAATAATTCATTCATTTTTTTTTCTTTCTTTTTTAACATCTCGTTTGGAACTTTTCAAAAATAAGATTAACGATAACGAAAATCCGACTAACTATTGATCTAATCATAACCATTATCACCGATTTAGATGTTTTTTTTCTTGATGTTAATTAGTACGTATACTCACTTGTTTGCTTTAATCTCACATTGCAAATTTCTTGCTACAACATTATGAATCCTATGATGCACGTTTTGTAGAATTCGATTGTACTGAAAACGAAAGACCTGACTTACTTCATATCTTTATATCATTTATGAGTAATCTACCATGCAACCAAAAGATGAGTACGACTCAAAGCTGCTCAAGTAACTATCATCATCACAAATTTAGAGTCAACATTTATTACAGAAATTGAGAAACAAAAACATTTAGATTCAGAATTGATATTGATGTCTCTAGGTTTTTAGTCAAATTTATGGAACTCTAAGTCAAGGTAAATAACTAAATATGAAATATTTCAAAGACTTGTATATCGATTGAACTTGTTTAAATTGATTTATATATATATATATATATATATATATATATATATATATATATATATATATCCCGATAACTTTTTGTTAAATTTCGTATGAACTTCATTAAATTGAGTCATGTTTTCTCAGTTCTTGTTCTAAAATTGGATTTGTCGAGTTCTTCTTTAAGAAGATGGTGGGGTATCACACTTAATAAGTTGAAACTTTTGTGGTACACCCACTCACATTAGGTCATAGATAGGGCAATGATTAAAACCCAACCAAATAAATATATATAACCCTACAACAAGAACACATAAAGGCTATATGTTTTGTTTTTAGGTAAATTGCTTTCCTCTTAGATATCTTAGATTTGGTGACATTTTTTTTTTTTTTTTTTTGTATAATCGAAGTCGCTGATAATGTAACTTTTGTCACTTTCTTTATCAAAATATTTAGTATACGATTTTCGTAACGAATTATTAGCTAAAATATGGTCGTTTTCGTCATTTAAAACAAATAATTATGCCAAAATAATTTTAAAACATATGAGTAGCTAGGGCAATGATGAACAGTACATGAATAATATAATTACACCCTTTGAAATTTGAAGTACAGAACTACTTGATCGTTAATTTGGGTATTTGGTAGTGACAGTTGATTCAATCTTGTTCTTGTTTTCTTCTCCTTTTAGCTGTTAAATTAAGAGTAATGATGTATACATCATTCACTATGAAACTCTTAGATTGTAGTCCTGTTTTTTTTTTTTTTTTTCTGTCTGCATATAAAGTTTCAACAGCGACATTTTGTAAATTGTTTTATAAATGTAAAAGTATATAATATAGATAACAGCGATCAAGTAAGAACTGTCGATACGAAATGCTCATCATCTGAAACTGAGTTTCGGGAATTTAGTTATGTATCCATTCATGTAGATTAGTTGAATATTTTCTGTTGGAATAATTAAAGAAAGACAATTTATTTAGAATCAGGAAAGAACACGAAAACATGATTTTATCACTTGCCTGATCATGGTAGAAAGAAACGCCTGTTTAGTGTCACCGCCATTGTCACAGCTAACATACCATTCACGAAAAACGGGTCGGATTTTCATTGAATGACCCATAATTTCTATAAGAAAATGAGTAGGCTTTTAAGGACTTATTATGATGATGAATATAGTAACAGTGCCATTCCTACAACACTACGTATGATCAGAAAATACCTTGAAAGAGAAAAAGAGAGAGTGTTGTGAAGGGTGTGATGGAATGGGGAGCACCACAAGGTATCATATATATGAAAAGGAAGAATATGTACATATATATATGCTAGCTGTCAATCCTTCATTGTAAAGAATTTATTAAAAGGGTTGTTCAAAATGCATGTTAAGTAAATCATAAAAGTGTTAGAATCCAAACCCAAACCCAAACCCGAACCCGAACCCGAACCCGAACCCGAACCCAACTTCTAAATTTGTGCTATAATAGGTTTTGTGGTACTATGAGGAAACATTTTTTTTTCTAGTAGTGTGATGGAGTACACATATTAAGATACTAGACAACTGCATATAATATGGTCTTGACATTGAATTTTGGAGCCTTTGGACCAAAATTGAAAACCTTAGCTCCATGTAATCATTAGAAATCTAGGTAATTCGGTTTTAGACAAAGTAATATTACCCTAATATGTGAACCATGTGACACTTGGTATTACCTATACTTTGTATTTTATATGGCTAACAATGGAAGAAGTTTAAGAAGAACGAGCCAACACTCTAGTAATCCTTCTGGAGCTCTTAAAGTTCGATTCTTGTACTTTTACAAATGTATCTGGCTGCTCTCCTTGTAGGATTCAGAAGCTTTCTATTTCTGGGCACAGTCAGTGTTCTTGAATATCGAAGCATAAGACTTTATAGAAGAATTTCTAAAAAAAAAAATTCCTGCAAAGCAACCCCGTTTTGTGCTCTTGCAGCTATTTAAATAAATAAGAATATAAAATTATATATATATATATATATATATATATATATATATATATATATATATATATATATATATAATAAGACTTTTTTAGAAGAAAAATTCTATATATGTCCAATCCCTAGTGGTGGTGGGACCAACCAAGATGTATGTCGTCCAACCCAACCTCAGACTCTTTCTTCCCGACCTATTTGATTCTCTGGAAATTTCCAATAAAATTTTAATATTTTGAATCAGTTTAATTATGATTTAATCATAATATTTATTTTTTAAATAGAAAAATTACGATAAATTTTATATGATAATATGTTATTTTTGTTGAAAAAAAATAAGGATTATTTTATTAATTCGGATAAAATATAAAATAATCAAAATTTTTTGTTCAAAAAATAAAAATTTAGAATAAATCGTAAACTAGCTCAAAATATTAGGTATTTATCATAGATTTCCCTTGTATGTAGTTAATATACACTATTTCATGCTATTAGAGAATCTAGTTCCTTAAGTACCATGCAAAATCTGTTCTTTAAATAATTATCAATGGATTTACAAACAAAACAAATTTTAAAAGTGATATATGGTACTAATTTATCAATGGATTCAACAAAATGGTTGTCAAATTTGTTATGGTTAAGCCCCGGTAAATGAAAATGTCTTTCATAAGCTTCACTTTGATGTAGGATCATGTTCACATTAAGCATTAGCATCTCTATATATAAATTTGTCGTTCAAAGAAAAGGAACAACGAGTTTCATTAACTTTTTTTTGAAACGGCAGCAATTGTATACTTCGTTAAGCACCACAAAATATCTGCTCTGTAACACATTTAGCAACAGATTTATAATAAAAAAAAAAATAAAAAAAAAAGAAATAAACAAATCTGGTAATTTAGCAATGTATAAATTTGATGATAAATGTATATCATCCTTCATAAGCCGGCTAAATTCACTAATTAAAGTTTTCAAAAGGATTTATTTGTATAACTTAAATGTTGGGGAATTTAGGGTTTGCGGTGGAGATGTGGAGCTTGGATCGTGATATGACTTTTCGAACTGATATTTCTACCCTATATCTGGGTTACAAGAAATTCAGCCTAGGATAATCCAAGCGGACACTTACGTTTCTAGGCACAGAAAACGTAAGCTATTATACTAAAGGGTTCTGTGAATGTGTGATGAAAAACGAGAGCTAAAGAGCGTAACCCCTTTGAAAAGAAGAGTTGTTTATATACTAAACACGATTAGGGTTTCATTAGGGTTGACCTGTCATTAGTTGCATTGGAAGCCAGTAATATTAATCCGGATTAGGGTTACCAAAACTAACGAGTTTTGTTTGTTTTATCAGTTTTCCATTAAGTTCCCACATGCAAAATTCGGTGAGGTTTTGGGGCGCTGCCCCAAACCCTGCGGGGGCTCTTCCCTTCGATCCTGCCCGCTGACCTGGCAGCGGGACCTCAACCAGGGGCTCTAACCTTGGGCCCCGCTAGGGCCGCTGCCCCTAGACCCCGCCAAAGGGGCGCTGCCCCTTTGGAAACCCCGGACTCGGGGTCGCTGCCCCCGGACTCCCGACTAATCGTCGAATCGGCTTCTGACTCGATCTTATACATGCATGCACTCCGTACAACCCTCATACATGTATTAGAGTACAAATCATTAGCCCCTTAACTCATATGTTAGTTTCAATTACTTAAAATGATATAGTAACACGAAAATCACCAACATTAAACATAGTATCACTTTTCCAAACCTCTATATTTGAATTACTTTAAAATAAAAAAAATAAGATAAAAACTAGGAATCCAAACAAGGATTTAAAGTTTTTATCTTTCATCCTTAATATATAATTCAAAATTATCTCTAGGCTATAGTAAGAAAACCATCCGAATTGAAGTATAACATGTGTGTATGAGAGTTTATATACACATGTAGAGTTATACATATATAGGTTATATATATACGCATATGAATGTATATATGTATGAAATCATTTATTTTCATATATATAGGACGGTTAGATAGAGTGGTTGCGTGATGAAGTTGCAGAGGAAGTATGGTGGGTGCTTATAAGTCTACCTACACTTCCACTAATGTCATCATTCTTGCTAGCTATATGTGTAAGGACGTGGTTGGTATACTGGGTATTATGTCCACCCGCAACCCTATATACTACATATTCTTTGCCATAAATTTGGTACTACTCGTTGCTTTTAATTTCCAAAAAAGAATGACAGAAAAAGTCCTATAGTTTGACTTCAAGATACACGTACGTAACTACTCTTGTAACCCTAATCACTAAAATGATATATGAATTCCAAACATAACCCTGTACTTCTAATTATTTACTTCTTCGCCTATTACAAATCTAAATGCTTGGTCAGTGGAGAAAATCAAGAATCAAATAATAAAAGGGTAAAAGCTAGAGTATATTTACTTAATTCCTTATATATAATCGTTTTGCCCCATATAATTATATGATATGCTATGTAACACTCATGTTATAAATCGGTTTAATTGATTAATTTTCCAAAAAATTGTTTCAAAAAAAGAAATACGAATTCCACTTGTTGGACAAAATGGTGCATTTATATGCCGTATCAGAATTGTAACATTTCTTTTTTATTTTAAAATTTAGATGTCAAAGTTATCTGAACATTTTATATCATTTATTTACAGACAAATTCATGATATCATTCTATAGGTATACGTAAGAGAATCTATCATTGTGGAATTAAGATTTAGTTCAGAGATATATCTCTGACTAATGTTTACCATATGGCATATCAAAGATATCTAGCACTGAAGTTACGAACAACTCCAAATTACACGTCATTTTACAATAGATGAAAACTTATATTCACCAAATGGAATAAGATGCACATTAATAAGATCATGTAATAATAAGACATAATTATATATAAAGAGCATACTTAGTAACTATTCTAAAATCAGGGGAGGGTTCCATTAACAACTTTATGCATGTCAAGTAATTTGTTTTGAAAGGATTAAAAATGGTATTATAATAAAAGTTCAGAGGTTCTTATCCGAAATATTATGTTAACTTTCAAATTTCTCATTAGTAAGTTCATTTTTTTTTTCTATTAGTATAACTTTTAATTTACATGTTCCAACCTGCTAATTAATGATATCTATTAGGTGTTCATCAACTCAACAACTCGTCGACATCGTACTAAACCCATTGGCAAATGGTTCCCGGAGAGTCCCGGACTCAATATCAACCCGCTAATAATAATAATAATACTAATAATAATAATAATAATAATAATAATAATAATAATAATAGTTTTTCTATTAACATGGAGCATCTTTAAAAATTAATGTCATTACTAATTTATAGGTATACCACTGAACGGTTATGCGTTCACTATTGTGCGGTTTAGGACAATTGCAGTGTGGTTTGCCGTTTCACAACTTTGTTACACTGCATTATATGGTGTGTTATATGTTTTTCAGGTTTCAATGTTTTATAAGAGTTGAATGTTTATTTATTTATCATTTCTAACTTTGTATACAAATTAATAAGAAAAAATATACAAACAAATTTTAAATCATACGTCTAAAAATATGTAACATTTCATTTGAGAAAGGATTATCTCATGACATTATACAAGTAAAAAAATTTGTAACCATGTATTATATATTCAATAGATTCGAATATGTCTAAATTGAATTATTGAAAAGGGTTATGAACTTTTTGACAATTTGCATCAAATCACACCCGTATAATGTATTTTAGAACTACAGGACAGTTTGCGGTATTCAAAAAGTTTCAACCATATATATATATATATATATATATATATATATATATATATATATATATATATATATATATATATAATATAATATAATACTTGGTTTATATATAGAAGTGTAGAAATTGGATTCTCTTGCAAGATTAAGAAATATAATAATAAATAAATAAAACATAGCAATATTTTTGTTAATGTGAATAAACTCACAGCATTCAATTGCCACTACAAAAAAAATGCTAACTAGTGACGAAAGCAAAACGGTCGCTAATAATAGAAGTAGTCGTCACTAAGCGATTTAGTGATCAAAATTCTGGTCGTCACTTTTCGTCACTATAGGTCCGTCACAAAACCGATTTAGTGACAAAATTATATTAGTAGTCACTAAATAGTGACTAAAATGTCTTGGTCACTAAATCAATGACAACTCATTTTGTCACTAAATGTTGTCACTAATCAATGAAAATCGTCACTATTTTGTTACATTTATGACCATAAAAAGTCGTCACTAGGTTATTCAACTAGTGACCATACAAAGTCGTCATTGGTTTATACAATTAGTGACCATAAAAATTCGTCACCATGTTAATTAGTGATCATACAAAGTTGTCACTATGTTATTCAATTAGTGATCATAAAAGTCGTCACCGATTTTGGTTGCTATTTTTTGTATTTAACCCATTTAAGTAAGTAGTCAATGGTAAAATATACTATGATTAATTTATAAAGATAAAACAAAAATTATTCTCAAATTTAAATATACCCACAATATCTAAGAACAAAAAGCTTGGGGAAAATTTATTTTCCACTTGACAGAGTCTAAATTATCATGCACACATACATCACACACTCAACAAAAACTTAGTACAGCTTTTCAGCAAATTACAAAATAAAATGAAAACCTAAAAAAATAAATTCAACTCTTCCCATTTTTTTCCTATAATAATTGCATTTGCATTCTCATGATCCTTTCAGCAACGTGGATGAAATAGTATTTCAATACATAAATCTATTACTTCTTCAAGTGATGCCCAAACAAAGATGTTATCTCAATCTGCAATACATGTATACGATTTAAGTTAACAAAAATCTTTTACTCCACTGAATTTCACTGTTTTTTACTTGACAAATATCTATCAGCCAAAGAAACTTACAAAAGTCAAAGCTTCCTTAGAGCCTTTACTCCAGAAAAGCTACCATCTGTTACTCCACTGAATTTCACATTCATAATTATAAATAACCTCATTACATACTTCATTCCTTGCAACAAAATCATTATCAAGAAAGTTTTGACTTAATGTAGAACTTAAAAGACATATGAAACTCACAAATGATTAATGAATATAAAAAAGCTAAAAAATTCAGTGTGTTTGATGCATATACCTATAATGTGAACCATGGGTTCTCTTCTAAAGATATCAGTTGCATGTGTGCTTCAGGCATCACAATTGCATGTTTTTGGCACCAATATTTGACTAATATTTACAAAAAGAGCCAAATATAATAACAAAAAAATCAATCAAGATGATATTTATAAAAAATGGAATGTTTTAACTTTTAACCATACTACAAGATAAAAAATCTTACTTTAACACATTTACCATTAGAAGATCCTCCTGCAAGAATGTGTGAACCAGGCTACAAGAAACTTAAATACATCAACACATATGGCATTCACAATATCCTGGCCAATCAAACAATTTAATCAATTCACTCTTAAAAGTAGAACTACTTACATATTCAAGTGTGCTTAGAAGGTATAGTCATGGCAACTTATAATCACTTAGACCTTAAAAAAAATTTCTATGCCAACAAGTCAAAAAAAGAACTCCAAAATTAGATAATTTTAGCTGATAAGAGCGTGAATTAACCTGTAAAAGCAAAAATGGTGTTCACATATTAATATATCAGTAACAAGATCAATGTAAATAAGTGAGTATCTTAACCTTACCAACTTTTTTTGGACTAGTATCATGATGGCATACACCTATGGCATTATAAATGTAGTCAATTGAACGATAGATTTGAATAAATAAAATTTAAAACGAGACTAAGTTAATCAATTTACAGTTCAAAAAGGAGAGAAAGATCAGTAATAGCTTACCTGATATGTGTACAATTGTACATATAACATTGGTATGTGTTGATTCATCCTAGCACAATGCATTGATATCCTGTAGAATGTTGAAGGCACAACCAATACAACATTCAAATACACCTCAGTTTTATCGGTTATTAAATAGATTTTTTTTTTAGTTTGGATGTTTCAGTAAACACATGATTTGTTAACCATATAAACTGCTAAACTTTGTGTGAGAAGAGAGACAAAGAATCTCAATAAACTTATGTTAGCAAATCAAAGAGTTTAGGGAAGATTCACCGACCTGTTGAAACGCATGATGAGTCTAATTTCCAGTCAAGTGAATCCATCTGGATACAATTGACACACATTAATGCAGCTAGACTTGAAATCAAACACACTTAGAGTAGTATTATACGACTATACATAGATTTATACAGTGATAACTGCTTGGAAATCAATATAACACAAACTAGTATTGTATTACAACAAAACCATAAACAGAGCTTACCTGAGATCGCGGTCGTCGGTTTGATGATGGAGGCCGACGAAGGTTTTCCTGACAATGGATGCAGGCAACGATTGACTTGTCTATGCAGGCGGGCACCAAAACTTATCAGTGGACAACGATTGCGAGAGAGTAAGATCGTCAATGGTGGTTCTTCATGACCGACTGTGAGAAACACCAAAAATATTGAAGCCAATTACGGTTGGTTTTACGATGTCGTCTTGATTCGTGCTTGACTGAGAGAGAAATTTGCGATGAATTTGGAAAATTGGTTCAAATCAACGATGAAATGTCTGCACGTAACCCTAGTAGAATTAAACGTCGGCATAAATCCACGATTTAGGGGAAACGCAAAGTTAAGTTTTCAAAAAGTTATATAAAACACCCTCATCTTTGAATTTATTGATAAAAATGACCAGCTGGTTAAAAATGACTACACCCCCTTAAACAAATCATGTGTTTACTAAAATGTAATATTTTTGTTTAATTTTCTAGTGACCACTATATTTGGTCATTCATTAAGTTTGTAAGTGAGTGACTACTATTTTTAGTCACTAATATTTGTTATGATATTAAAAAAAATATTTTAATTTAGTTTTATAGTTTAGTGACCGATGAGTGACGACTATACCGGTACTGGTCACTAAATTTGTAGCATTATCAAAATTCAGTGACGACTTAATATATGGTCACTAAACGATGCAATTAGTGACCAGATTTTAGGTCGTCACTGAAAAATGGTCACTAATAAGCAGTTTTCTTGTAGTGTGCATAAAAATAGAGTTTGAATGTATCAGTGTTTTGTAATCACTACTTCATGCTAGTGCTTTCCATTACCATAAACCATGTGATTGTTGGCAACACCTAGAGCTACAATAATTTTAGCTTCTTATCGTCGCCGTTAATGTTTTGGGAAGCAAATCAGTGTGAACCCCTTCTAGTAAACCTCAACCATTCGATCGAGTATCTAATCCAATGGTTGGGATTTCTTTTTCACACAAATCCAATATCGTCGACAAAAAATCGCCGCTAAAGGTAAAAATAAAAAAAAAAAAAAAAAGACGCGATATAAGTTTTCTCCTTAGTTGTCGCTGTTGTTTGTGATTATCGCTAACATTGGTTTCGAGTCGCCGCTAAAGGTCGATGAACTTAAACCCTTTTTTCATCTCAAATTCTGTGACAATTGTAGAAATTAGGTAATCGTTAAACGAACACTACTAACCTAATCAATGTTGTAATACACCTAATGTGTAATAAAGTTGTGGTTTTGTTGTTTATATTTATTATACTTAATTTGAAATACATCCAAAATATCAATCGGATTGATATGAATCTCTAATAAACATATAGTTTCAATATACATAAGGAATATGTTACTAGGTATGATTGAAAGAGATATGTGTATTAGAAATTATTATGTGCTCATCACCTAGTCTAAGAAAATAGGAAAATTTGGACATAAAAAATATCAAAAACGGAGTTCGTGTACAAAAGATATGATTGTTATAACAATATATACAATCGGGTAATAGCTCACCGCCTGATAGGTGTCAAAACCCGACATCAAATGAAAAACGAGACGTCTTCAGAAATAAATTTTTATTACCAATCAATTTTCCCATGAGTCTCATTTACTTTAAGAAATTATCATGTTCCTAAATTTTTATGCTCGAAAATACCCCGAGCTATTAAGGATAGGGCTAAATGGATAAGGTTAGCCTTCTTCCCTAATTAATGTTCGTACAACTGGTATAATCATTTCTGGGTTTCGTATCGAAAACTTACTTATATATTACAAATCAATTTTTGATGTAGTATTTGATTCAAGAGCTAACATTTTCGTCATGCATCATATCGACTCTTATCACACCCCCAAACCAGAATGACGAAAACATTCGGTGGTGGGTAACTTCACGTAGTACCATAACTGTTGAATATTGTAAAGAAAGTAACACAATCATCATATATATAACAAGAACGTATATTGTTGCGTAATACATGTTTCCAAAAGAATATTACAAATATGATGATTTAAAATGTTTTAATAATAGACGCCTTAGCATTCCTCCTCCAAAAGCTGGTGGTTACCTGTATTACCGATTCCCTGAGAAATACAAGTAGTTTCAAAAAAGTATCAACAATAAAGTTGGTGAGTTCATAAGTGTTTTTGTACTGAAAAAGTATGTCTTTTTAGAAGAAAATAGATGAATGTAGTTTCCAGAAAATCCAATATTTTCCACATATAGTTTGAAAAAGTCCCAAAAGTTGGAAAGCGTTAGTATCTTTCGTACCCAAATGATGAAGGTGAATTTATACTCAAAATAATGTAAATACTGAATGCATTCACGAGTCTCATAAATCAAGCTTATTTTTATACTTCCGTGTGAGTCTTATAACCATGCTATTGACACAGACTGCCTGTAACAACGTTCTTCAGGTGTTGTAGTGTTATGACATTTGTCACCCCAGACCTGTCGGTCTAACTGTAGCTAATAGTTTAGGTGCGAGGTTGTCAATCCCGTATAGATCTATACACAAGTATCTCTCCCTCCAAGAGATTATGGTTTATAATACAACACTTGAAATGCATACTTGAGAGTACGTTGAAGTTGAATATCTCACAACAGTTAGTATAAATAGATTTACGAAAAGAAAGTCTTTATTTCACTTCAATGAAAGTGTTTCGTTTTACAAAATGTTTACGTACGAATGTATGAATAACCCGCAAACTATACCCATTATAGTTTTTCTGAAAGTGTGTTCCATTTGGTGATAGTAACTCGATGAAATATTAATCTTTTTCATGCAAAGTAAAATGTTGATATAGAAACATTTTAATAATATAGAAGTTGTATTTAATTCTATATAAAACGATATGTTTTCTCGTATTGCACTTGTATTCCCCCCCCCCCCCTCTAAAACATGAAAAGACGTGAAAAGTAGGGGTATGAACTCACTTGTTTGGTTTGAAGAGAGTGAGACTAGAATCGAGCAGAACTTCGACTGCGGAAAGCTGCATCTTCGGACTCTTCGGGGGTCTCGGTAGCGTAAAACCAACGTCGGGGCTTGGGTATGGGATCAAGGGTGTCAGGATAGTCTCTAGAGCTTAGGAGGGTGCGGGAGTGAAAGGGAAGTTGAAATTTGTGTGCCAAAACCCGGGGATTTTGCACTCTATTTATAGTGCAAAAACCCCCCCGTACGCTGGGCGTACTCTAAGGGTACGCTAGGCGTACTCCGGAGTCGTCAGCGCTTACAACTCGAGCCTAGCTAGTCTGCTAGCCGATGGGACGCGACCTTGCATCTGAGTACGCTAGGCGTAACTCGTATTTCCAACTTCTAAATTCTGTAACTTTCGCGTACGAGCTCCATTTTTCGCGTTCTTTATATCCACGCGAAGGTGAGACCATGATCTACAACTTTCATTTAGACTCCGTCGGCTAGTTTTGACTTTATTTTTAATAGTATGATTTTAGTAGGCTGATCCGTTAAAAATTCATAACTTCTTTATCCGACGTCTGTTTTCGTCTGTCTTTTTACCATCGTACTCCTGTTGTGGAGACCTTCAATTCTCGTTTAGGTTGCGTTAGCTAAAAATCGTTCGATCTTTAATTTGAGTTTTTAGCTCTCTACCGCTGTTACGAAACTTAGAAAATTCGTAACTTCTTCATACGAAGTCCAATTTGGGCGATATTTTTTTGCACGCTCATGGTTTCACGTAATCTACGACTTTCATTTAGATACCTAAGGCTAAAATGCATTTTATTGGAATTTCACTTTTTACGTTTAATAATGTTTTACCGGGTGTGTTGTGAATATTCGAGTGGTCATAATCTTTTCATTATAACTCGGTTTTGAACGTTCTTTATGTTTTTAGAAAACCCTGGCACGATATCTAACATTTGATGCATCCCAAATTTAGATTTTTAAACACTTTATTTTTGAAGTTAATTTCATTGATTCCAAATAGTTCGTTGTATTTGACTTTTGAGGGTTACATATTGATGAGATATAAAAACTCTTTGATCGATTAGATCTTTGCAACAGGTAGATAATGAAAGTAAAAAATGAAACAATACTCAAGAATGGATCTGAATGAGTCGAATGATTAGAACGTTCAATCCTCAGCAGAGCTCGATAAAGAACTTCCGTTGTTGAGGATTTTAGGGTTTACAAAAGAGATCTTCTTAATTACACATAAAACAAACGATCTATCAGTTACCAAAAAGATGCATGCAAGCATCTATTAATACACAAACCCTAATAAAGCAGGATACGGATGGACAGGCCTATGTCGTATACAAAATGGGCTAAGAGGCGAGCCCAAGACGCAACAACAAATACCCAACACATATATTTGGAAAAATATAGGGTTGTCACATCATCCCCCGTTAGAGGGAATTTCGTCCCGAAATTTAATCTAAGACAAAGTTTACGAGTTAGGAGAAAGATGCGAGTACTTTTGTTTCATCTGATCCTCACGTTCCCATGTGTATTCAGTTTTGATTGAGCTGTGGGCTTCTTTTCTCCCTCTTGTTTCGGATGGTCCTCCTGCTCAGGAATGCCTTTAATGCGGCTAAGCAGGGCAAGAGCAGGAGCGAGCTTCTCTGCAAGAGTACACCTCACCGAATAGTTAAGAATCGGATCATGGGCTTCGATAATGTTAGACAGAGCTCCATGGACATCTGAAACACAACTCCTGACCACAGCTTTCTCATACCGAAGAGAATCGATCTCCTTCTCGGCTTGGGAGAGCTGATGAGTTGCTAGAGTAAGCTCGGAAGATTTTTGAGCAAGCTCGTCCTTTGTAGTGGATTCGGCGGCAAGAGTGGCTTGAAAGGTAAGAGGACGATCCGAAACCGAAGATTGAAAAGATTGATTGTCTTCTTTGAGTTTCTGGCGGAAGCTGGCAAATTGGTCTTTTTCGATTTCGAAAGAATGGACCAGCTTCTCCACAACGGTGCGAATCTTCTTGGTGTTTGTTTCTGATGCCGCCTGCAAAGACTCGAGCCAGATCTGGGCATCATGAAATAGTTTTTCGACTTTTTCGGTCGCAACAGCACTAGCCTTTGTCGATTTATCAATAGCAGCAACAGCTGAGCTGATGGAGGCTTCGTGTGCTTTGGAGAGAGATTCCACCATTCCCTGAATGGCAGCCTCCAAAAAGTGAGATGTTGAGGAAGAGGAAGAAGCTACA